ACTTACAATATGAAGTTTAAGACAGAGCATGATTTTACATTTTGTACAGTTTATTGAAATTGAATAGGTATGCGAAATGTAACGAAGCGAAGATATGGTGAATTCGACAGACGTCGCCCATCAGGTTGTCTTCGGCTTCGATACGGTCGAACTGTCTTTATATCCGGTATAACCAGGAAGAACCACTTTACCAACTGTAAAAATAAATAAAACAACACAAAAAATGATACAGCATGCAAAAGGCCTTCTTTTGAATGATTAAGGATAAAGGATCAAGTCTTCAGGTGTTGATTAGTCCCGCCTGAGGGATGCGCCCATTAGACTTCCACTTGGAATCGCAGTGGCGCGTGCTTATGTGGCCTATACAATGACATGCGGTGGCACGCCCACGGCAGTGGTTCCGCAGTTATCGAAATCATCCACTGAGAATCGAAATATTACCCTTACACTGTACGTTCTGCGACAAACGCGGCACAACCTATGGGGACAAGATCTCACAGATAGGTCCAGAGCATGAATCACTATACACCCACACCCATGCAGGTAGTCCCCCTTGCAGAAATCAGATACTAGGCTTTCTACGGTCTAACTTTGTCAATCCTAGTAGAGCTTCAGCACCAGTTATTGATGTCGAGCTCTCTATGAATGGAAGGAGTTGCAGAAGGAAGGAGTTAACGGGGTCCGAAAATGGTGGAAACGATGTTGGGGAAAAGAAGACTGGAACGTTCAATGAAAGTATTTAAATACCGAGTTTTGGGAGAAAATTATGATAAAAAATAAGGAAAACAGGAAAAAATAAACCTACTTTGTTCCTCAACGTCATCGATTACTGGCTCATCCTTTGGCTTGTTTTCTTCTGAAATTAAATCGAGATGAATCGAGTCGGGTGGAAATGAACAAAACCAAGACATTTGTCGGTCATTCCCGGACCACACGCACGGTTTTTCCTAAAGTCTCCGGATGGCCGTACTGGTTGAGGACAACAGAAAACTTCACCAGATGCAAGGATTTTTCACATATTGGCATTTTGGCCTTTCTACTCCGGAACTACCACGCTAACGTAACCATCACGGATCACCCGTACATTCTCCAATTTGTAGGTCACACTATATACAAACAAGAGGTAAGATTTTGAGCAGTTTTATCTTTTTTCAAAGAGCGCCATGCAATCGGCTTCCAGTCAGAATTCAGAAAAGTACTTGAAAGAGGATTTGGACACGAAAATAGGCCCTTAATCAGTCCCCTAGGAATTCCTCGATGAACCTACTTCCGCTTTATTGGAACTGAATGAAGGAGTTTAACCATTCATGAATCGTAAATGTGGAAATGGCATAACTGCCATACTTCATTTATTTCCAGATGCTGCAGTGCCCAAATTAAGAACTAACCTTCAGCTGGCTTTTTCTGGAAGTAATCCGTCGCTTTTCCTTGAATAGCACCAACTGAAACATTACTATCTATGGTAACCATCCAGTAGGACCTTTCAGGGTACAGACGCACCAAGCGATCCGAGTCCCGCAGTCAGTTTTGCAATATCCTCTTGACTCAACTGCGCACCGCCTTGACTGCCACTTCCAGCCGATCCTGAAAACAAACAGAGTTGAGTGATGTTAAGTAAAAATCAGAAATTCGGAAGTATTGATAT